CCCCCCCCCCCCCTCCTCCTGTTCTTGTCTTGTAGCGATTTGGTTTTTTACCCGTAGTGTTGACCTACTTTTAGGATCTTCAGGAGAAAGGGGTTAATATCTCAGCGCAGAACATCATACCACTGAAAGTAAGTGCGCCTGCTTTTCGGGAAGTCCCCTTTATTTTCCCTCTCTTTTATCGTCGGTCCCTCGTCGAATGGTGCTCGATACGAATTTTGCAATATTACTCTTTGGCGATTTATTTTTAAAAGACATTCTATTTTAATAGGTTTTACAAATTTATATATCGATTGTTCGCGTGTTGTGTTACTTGATATTTTCATAAATATCGTTCTGCATCCATTTTAAGGTATTAAATTTTTTAACAAGAAGAAGGAAACCAATAACGGTCAAAGCCAATAACGGTCAAAGCCAATAACGGTTAAATTGACAATCAATCTAACAATTTTGATGCTTAATAATATGTTGAAAGACATATTCAATAAGATGCTATAAGCATCAAAATTGTTAGATTTATTGTCAATTTAACTAAAGTGATATTACCGCGGTAGTTGTTTAGAGTTGCGTTGTAAGTCTGAAAAAATTTTCGGCACGCGATAGGGGAACTACATACGCGGTATATAAAATTCACACATATAATTTTAATAAGAATTTGTGATCGAGCTTTGACCGTTATTGGCTTTGACCGTTATTGTTTCCTTCTTCTTGTTAGTTTATTGTTTATCAATTGTACGGTCTTAAAAAGATTTTAGTATTTGTTAAATTTTTTAAGTTGCATTGGTATACGCGGATAGTTTGGTGAGTCAGTGACTTTTTAAAAGGAGATGTAAAAACAAGTCAAATCTTTTTATTTAAAAAAAAATTAAAGAAGTCACTGATTTATTAAACTGCCCTCGTACTTGAAAAGAAGGAAAGAAATGCACAAAGAAAAAGAAATATTGCAGATTAACTTGAATATTTTTAGAACTTATCTTTTGTTTATTCATAGTTTCTCGAGGCCGCTTAAGCACCACCAGATCATTCTAGATTTGCTGGTGAAAGTAGAAAATGCCTCGCTGAAACGAGCTGTCGCGCTGCGAAGAAGTTACAAAAGTTTGCTCACCTCGGAGGAATCCCGGGGCGATTTAATTCCCCCTTTCTTCGAGATTGCAAACTTAGTTCTCGTCCGCTGTCGCGACAACCGGAAGTTGTCGGGAAGGTTTATTTATCGGTCGGATAACCGATACCGAGAGCGTGTCGTATATATCCGTCCTTTAATCGCGTAGTGGAATTTTGTCGCGGTCGACGCGTCGTCACGCTGAGCACTGTTTGTCCGAGGGAACTAACGAGGCGCGAACACGGCGGAAGGAAGTTTCGAGTAGCTGGAAGATCGTACAACGATCGAGTCGAATCATCCCGCTGTGCTCGCGCCATATCGACATGCGCGAGGTTCGCTAGAAACCCCTTACAACATACCCTTTTATTTTACGGTTCGATACCTCCGCGTTCTTACGACCCTTCTTCCTTTCTCTTTCTCTCTACTCTACTCTCTCTATCGGGGGTCGTGTACAAGTTACTGCGTGCCTCGTATACCATTCTCGATAATCGATTGTCCCGATACGTGAAAGGAAAGACCGCTCGAAAATCTACGGAGGAAATTCACCGCCTTGCCTCGCGCGATATTCCATCTCTCGGGCGAATGCAAATCCTCTCGCGAAAGGCAGACACAGCCTCTCGGCTCAGCTTCAGCTGCTGTTGCTGCTTGTCGGCGTTGAATTCGTATTCCTCGAAAGATCGGAGACGCGGTCGGTAGTGGAGTGCCAACAACGCGATATCCTATACTCTTTCAGAGTAAGAGATGGAACCGGTTCCCCTCCCCGCACGTTTCGTACATCCGCTCCGCGCTAGTGCTTTGACTCGACACGACGACGGCTTCCACGGGCGCCGTTTGGGTCTCAAAGGGGATATCGTCCCGTCGTTCGAGATGTATCGCTTTATCAAATTCCGAAGGCGGAAGATTTTTAGAATTACGGTTTTACTACGGTAGAAATTTTCAGAGTCAAATTTACAGTCGAAGAATTTTCAGATATTCGGCTATTCCGGTAAAAGAATTTTTAACTTGAATTTCACGACGAAAGAAAAAATTCAGATCTAAATTTTGCAACGATAATTTTTCGCTTAGATTTTGTCTTTGATGTCTGTGATAAAACTTTGCAGTAATCAAATCACGTATTTTTATTGCAGCACAACAACATGCAACGTAAAATAATAAATAAAACTTGAAAATATGTCAAGATTTTGATAAAATAAAAGTATTAACAATAACAAAATTTTTCATTTCTGTACTCAATAAAATATTCAAAATTTTTTATCAATTTATATATTTTTGTCTAATAAATCTTAACGATAATGCAACAAAAACAATTTTTCGTTTCATGTCTACGATATCTGTGATAAATGTTTGTCACACAATCAAATGATTTATCTTTTGCAACTTTATGTACATATAAAATGAAAAGTAAAACTTTTTGGAATACAAAACACAAGTCTGATAAAGTATATCATATAATGACAAATTTATTGAATTTTCCATTCAAATATCCACATTATTATCTGTAACATTTCTCGAATAAACTTTCATGATTGAGTTTGATTTTGCATCCGACACAACACATGCAGGCAAGGTGTCAATACTGAAAGAAAAACATACGCGAGGGAAAAAAAGCATCCGAAATTCACGAACGCCTCCGCGAGAGGGAATTTTATGCGAGAAGCGCGGATTACGTGGTCGCGTAGCCGCGAAAAAATCCCAGCGGGAAACGTGCGCGAGGGGGAAAAAAAAAAAAAGGAAGAGGCGCGCGGGGGGGAAAAAAGAACGCTGCAGCGTTACGCTGGCGCACATAAGGCGCGAGTAAAAAATGCACGACCCCGCCGCACCCGTCCCGCATGCCGATGCGAAAATCGCACGCGCGCCCGTACACCCTGGGCGCGTGCGTGCGTGCATTGCATGATACTATACTTTGTAACATCTGTCCTATTCTCTCTCTCTATGGCGTAGTGCGATGTGTGTGCTACCCACCTACGGGTGTGCATCCACCCGCTGGATGAATGCGCGGGCGATTTATAGCGCGTAGGTGGTATCCGTAGACTTGCCTGTGATCGTATCGCAGTCGCATGATCGCACGATGATGGTGTATTGATGTAGCTGTCGGGAATGAATAAGTAATTGCTGATTCTCCGGCGGGCGTTGGTCAACCGAAACCCGAATATACGATGTAGACTCATGAGACGATTATCGTGATGAATCGCATGGATTGTTCGTTATTAAAAGGGTAAAGGAAAAGTAAATCAGAGGCACCGAAAGTCTATTTGGGAGAATAAATCTCATTTCGAGAATGTTACTTTGGAAAGTGTACACGTATCTCCTGCTAAAAGAGAAACGCATCTGACCTATTTCGATACAGTTGCGATGCGAACGCGATTGCGAGTATCGATATAGAGACGCTTTGGAAGATACGAGCGCGTTGTAATATATTTACATGGAAATAGAGGAGAACGCTTGACACAATAGCAGTGATAATGCAAATAATAAATGACAATAATGCGACCACGGAATATTGGTTAACCATAACTAAATTCCTTTCTCTGGCGATGCTACAACTAGAACTACGTTTGAGGATTCAATAATGAAACGCTAACCACAATTAATGATTCTTTTAAAGAATCCTATCATGTCTAATTGTAATTCATCGGATGCGACAAGTTTATCGTTTTTCATGCTTCCACCCTTTTTTGCAGAAGATTCCGCAGAAGCAGATTAAATCGAAATATCCTACGCTGATTTAATTAGTCGTATCGAAGTCTCCATCATGTAATCTGATATTTATTATATTTGAATCGAGCAAAAGGATTTTATTCACCTAAATTTTTCTAAAAATATAAATAGACGTCATGTAGTTTCATATCGTTCCTTTACTTCAAAAATGACGCAATTAAAAAAATTAAGTTTCCAGAAAAGTGAAAAAGTATTTTCCAATTTGACAAAAAATTATTAATTAATCGAACAATATGGGCAAAAAGAATACATTCTTAATATGATCAAATGTCATTTACGTCATTTTGTGATTTGAAAGTAATACAAAAAGTACGGCAGCGATTTAGAATCTGATTAAAAATCATTTCAATAAGGAGCAGACATGCCCTTCAAAAATGATCAAGATAAAATGAGAACATTTTTATTTAAATTAAATAAATTTATATAAATTAATTATAAATTATAATTTTGATACAGGTATAATTCTGGTATTAATTCAACTCATTCACGGTAATAATAACTAAAAAAGATCACGTTTTTTGAATTGCGCGTCACTTTCGGAGTGAAAGAATAATTCAATTTTTTAATTGTTTTATGAAAAGATTTAATCATCTTGAAATATGACAAAGCTTCCGTATCTGTCTTCTCATATGGATATTCTTATATCGAATATTGAGAATCTGTCGTTTAATGACGGCTCTCGGTGCCTCAGACCTCTGTATCGGTTCCGGCGGGGAGAGAAATTAAAAAATATAGGCTGCGCCGAAGAATTATTCCATCCTTTCCCACTGTTTTGTCAACCATGAAACATGTTGCCCTCACGGAAAATGCTCGCGACGACCGCGTATATCTCCGAAAACGCGTCTCGACGGGCTATTCCAGTTGAGTTTTCATCCGCGGGGCACCTGCGCCCTCGGGCTATGTGCGTGCATGCCGCGTGTCGTAGACTTCTCTAAACGTTGCGTTGCTCGTACATTTCTGTCTGCCTGGGCATATATGTGCGTGTATGTGGTGTCCCGCTGTACGCACCGAACGACGATCCATCGTTATTTGTCTCGGCCATCATCCCAGGTCGCGATTGCATGCATGTGTATGCGCTCAATGTGGTCGAGTCGCGGCGCGCGTTATCGCGCACATATCGTCTTCCCCGCATATATAAACACGTGTTCTCCGCGCGCATTTGCTACGGGGGTGGTTGCTCGGGTGAGGTCGCTCGGCCCCCGCTGATGTGTCTCTCCGGTCGTGACAGAAATTAATTGCTCACTCGTATACGCGGGCTGTCTCATCGTCGCTGGAAAATGCTGTTTCAATAGCCGGGCCTTCGACGAACCGCGGCATTCATCGTTCCCGAATGCGTTTGATGAAGGGTCTAATTAATATTTGACCCGAGAGAGCACGCGTACTATTCCGCACGTGACACCGTACTGACAGCGATATTTTTCGTGTATCATCGTACACGCGCCGCACACACAAGTGTTAATTATTTAAAATAAAATTCTGATCTTTCGATCATTTTAATGAAATTTTAATCCAATAGGAATTTAAAAATATTTACGTTTTATTATCGGGATATTATATTTAATTTTGCCAAAAAAAGGTTGACAAAGAAATTCGCTTGTTGAACTTCCCTGCGATAATGATGAAATGTATAAAAACCGAAATTAATTAAACATTATTTTCACAAAAATCCCATTAGTTAAAACTACTTAAAAGAGTATAATCAAAACTTATTTCTTTTTCTCACCTCACCAGCTCTGGCTTTTTCTGTTCCATTAAATTATTTTACTTCGAATAAGTGCCAATAACTGCAGAAGGAAAGATAAAACTTGTGCTCGCTTACAAGGATATTTCAAAATTGTCTTCGAACTTATCGTACCGCGATTTTAGCTCCGGACAATGGACACTGTCTTTTAACGGCTCCTGTTACGTCGGGAACTTTTTTCACATTGTATCGAAAACGATCGCACAAAAGTATCCATAGAAGAAAGAAACGATCCTAAAGACCACCACTACGGAGGTATTTCTCCGCAACATCCGGCTATACGCTTCGTGCATCTTTGGGCATCTTCTTACAAGAAAGATAATGAAAAATTCTCTCGCGCTAAACAAAAACTCTTCCACTCGCCCTTTCACGCCGTCGAAGCAGCACCGCGTAGTAATACGATAACACGATAAAGGGTCCATTTCGTAATTCGCTGTAGTTACTCGCCGCATCGTGAAACCATAAATCCGCGCGAAGAGCAACCCCGTACCCCCGCGCGCGCGCGGAGATCTTTCTCGTTTCCATGCACTGTTCTTTCGCGATCTTTCTCCTTTTTCCTGCGTCCACCCGCCTGTCTCCACGTACCTCCCTCTTCTCTCTTTCTCTTTTTTCCCTCCACTCTTTACTAACTTTGCTGTGCTCTTCCCCCGCCCCTCTCTCTTGCTCTGTCTACCTTTCGTTCTCTCGCTTTCCTATCTACGTCTTTTTACTGTTTCACCATCCTCGTACGCTCACCCGAGAGATCGTACACCACACATACGACTCTCCTTCTTCTTTGACCCGCCTTCTTCTCTCTTCCCCTTGTCGATCCCCCGTCAGTCCGTGGCACAAACCGACGAGTACCGAGAGACACTCTTGTGTCGAGGGCTCTCGCCGGAGAGAAAAGCCGTAACGACGTAACGCTCTTGGGACGTAACAGGGAGAACCGGGTGAACCCGGGCCGCCGGGACCACCCGGTCCGTCAGGAGCCGAGGGTCTTCCTGGACATGAAGGCAGACAGGGGATTCCGGGCGAGGTCGGCGCACCAGGGGAGAAAGGCCCGCCCGGGCCGATCGGGCCCATCGGCCCGACGGGCACGCCAGGACTTGCAGGTCCCAAGGTGAGTCAGACAGATTTAATCCACGTTGTATCTCTGGTTACACGTCAACCATCCTCGTCTTTGGGACATCGAGATATCAAATATCACCTATTTCCGTAAATTTAAAGAGCTTTTCTCGGTCCTTCTTTTCATGGCGTGTGACAGGTGCTTCTCATCATGAAAGGAGTGAAAATAGCATTCTTTCTCTTAGCGAAGAATGCACTAACGTTAAAAAGGATGGAGGAATAAGTGATTTATTTAAAAGGTTATTTTAATACTATTTTTTTTTAATATATATATATATTGGAATATTCTCTATAAAAATATTGTCTGCAGAGAATTTTTGAAAAGTTTTATTGGAATGTAAATCTCATTTGCGCTCTCTTTATATGTAATATATGTATAGATTACTTTTAAACATATAAAAAAAGTTGTTTAATTATGCGAAGTTGAGATTTCAACGCGGGAAAGATAATTAAAAACTAAAATTATCTCTCAAATAATGAATTAATTCTCATTAATATTAATTAAAAATGCAAAAAGGATTTGTAATTATTCTGCCATTAAAGAAATAAAGGTAAAGGGCGAAAAGTAATGTTACAAAATGTAATGTTACAAAATTTGAATTCTCGAGTGAACATACTATATTCACAAAATAATATAAATAAATTTTATTTTCATGAATATGTTACATCATATCGTTGCATAAATTATCTCCATTCCCGATTTGTCGATAGTTGGATTGATAATACCGGCGTTTAACTGGAATTAAACTTAACTTTATTTATCCAATAGAAATTATAAAGCGCGATTTCACGCATAATCGCGGGCTTGCGTATTTCGAAATATCAAACATCTGATACCGCGGGTTCAAAATTCCGCAGAGAGTGATTTAATATTACGGATGTACCACCACAGGTAACCACGTTATACTGTGGAATTATGTAATGATTACGGGCAGCATGCTTTCAAGTACGTGGTTTGAAACAAATCCGGCTAATCTCATGGGATTTTGAATTTCTCTCAAATTTCAACGGTATTTTCAATTTCGCTTAATAGCGGGCGATAAACCGTTCAATCTACATATTTAGTACGAAGACGAGAAGAATATGCACTATTCGTCGTATTGTTTGAAAACTTTTTTTTGCACCTGAACACAAGTAATCTGCCCGTTGTTGGAAAAAAAAACGCAGTAGATATTATGCTCTTAATATTGCCATTCAAGAGGTTACGTAACCGATAATTATTAATGGAGTACAACAGAGCGATTACAGAACAATGGAGTATTAATTACGTCCGGCGCATTGTTAATTTAATCCAACTATAATTAATTACATTCGAAAGCACGTTCCTGCATATTAATTGCTGACGCTTGATACCGCCACGATAAAGGATCATCAAACGCTATCCATTTAGGAAAGTGTTCTTTTAATTAACCTGTCGTATGCGTTGGACAGAATTGCTGTGGAAAAAGAAACGTGATAATTTTATTTTCAAAAAATATTTATTGTAATGAAGCGGGAAATACGAGAGAAGAGTCGCGTGAATATGCAATAATTATTGAAAAATTATTGAAAGTTTATTTTCGACAGGGTGACAAGGGTGATAAAGGTGATCGGGGCTTCACGACGACCTTAAAGGGTGAGCAGTTTCCAAGTGGAGTATTTGAAGGCCCACCTGGTCCACCAGGACCACCTGGTAAGCATACAAACGAGATAATCTGCATACGAAATAAATGATTAAACATTACACGTCAATTGCATTCCCGTGAGGAATACGAGAACACATCACGGTAACTCTCTACGAATCTTCTATGCAAATTATTTATTTCGTTAGCATTTCATTTGAATCTAATAATCGTAGCTTATCTAATTGTATCAGAAAATCATACACGGAGCTAGGCATTATTTTTTTCTCTGTATCGTTTATTTTTCATTTCCTCGACAGTATATATTTTACACTTCAATTTATACGTTTTATTTAATTAATATTTTTCACATCGTTTATTAGAGATTGATATTTTCCACATCATTATTTTAATACTATTTAATGCTATAATCTTCCACTCTATTTTTCCCTCGTGGATTCTTTTGACGGGCAGTGCGCGATTGAAAAATCATTAATATCGTGATCCACGAGAGAATTAAGTCGGTCATGCACGACAATTCGGAATCGGAGCGCGATATGGCAGTCATCCGATTATCTTCGCGAATCGATTATCTCCATCGGCGTGACCTCGGGCGAAGAAAAGGCGGAAATGTTTGACGAGGAAATCTTGACTTGGATGACCGTGCAGGTTCCTCGAGAGGAGATCGAGAGGCGATCGCGCACGGTGGGCGTATATACGCGCTGTGTCTCGCCGGCGTAGTAATGTATGCGGCCGTGAGCAAATCTTTCTTTGCCATTCGCGCGAGCCTCCTTTTTTTTTTCTCTACCGCCACTCGTCCCGTGCGGATCGGACGTTAACCCTTCGGGAGTTGAGCGTCCTCGAGGAGCACCGTCCAAAAAACTGCGCATACATTTGTGTACATGGTGATATCTCGCGAAATTCGTAGAGGAAAAGGCGGTAACGTGACCTCCCATTTTGTTTTCTTGTGCAATTTTTTTTTATTTCTTTTGTTATACTCAAGTCAGTCATATCGCGGATGATAATTTATTGGCTTGGGTTTATAATAAAATTCAACGAAATAAAAATATATACTTGAAATGACAGTTCACAAAATAAGAAAAAATTGTTTAAATGAAAGAGATATTATGTGACTATCCGAATGCGATAGTAAAGGTCCTCTTTTACAGAATTCAGTTTCTCTCTCTCAGATCTATTAGAACTTCCCGTGAAATCCAAGTAGTTTAATCTCGTAGAAAATTTTGAATGTATTGAGATATTATCGGATCCAGACATTTCTTTTTATGAATATGTTAGCAGTACTTTTGTGTTGATCTTGTCAACAAAAAGGTCTCTTCAATCATGCTAGCAATGTTTCACATTTCGGTATCTAAAAACACATTAAAAATACTTTGCAAGAGATGGTATTAATTATAATAGAACTTTAAGTAGAACTCATGTTTTTTGGCAGCAAAAGCCTACACATTATTACTTTTTCTTTTTCTTGAGTGAAAATAATTTTACAAAAAAGAAGACATTACAAGAAACAGAAAAATTTCCGTGATAAAAGAAACACAATTAGATGTAATTGTTACTTAAGTACGTTAAAGTATTACAGTACGCAACATTACTTCAAAGCCAGGATTACACAGTACTTTAAAGTAAGTAAGATGTAACAAAAGAGATTTTAAAAAATTCATAAGTAAATTAATCTTAACTTTGTAGAAAATTGAATTAGCTCCGTAACAAAATATCTCACAATCCAAATTTCGTTGAACCGAGATATGTTTAGTAGCGCTAACGTTGTAACCGACGTGGAATTTTCATGAAATATTCGCCGAGAAAAAAGTCGCTTCTAAGTGCAACCGAGAAATCTGTAGCCTCTGGGAGCTGTCACGACAATTCCAAGATACTCTGTGTAAAAGATTCAGCCCTGTTTAAAATTACAAGACAAGAGACACCATGCGCAACGCTTCTTGTGAATAGTGCAGAAGGTAATAAATGCGCAGTCCTGAGGCGCGGCGCGGCGTGGCGAGCGGAAGCTGGGGGGAATATCTCGTCGCGTAAAGACGAGCGCGACTGTCGGCTTAAAAAATTCCGACCCACCTCTCGCACCAATATCTCACGACTCGGTCGTTCGTCAACGTTCGCACGCCCACCCCGCCGTGTAGCGCGACGGCGAGAAAATGATTTACGATCGCGAACGTATTCAGAATCCGATCTCGCTACTCGTAAACGACCGTTTACAGCGCGCCGTGTTGACCGTGATATGTCGGATATTGGCAAAAGCGTCGCGCGAGTATCAGTTACCTGCCTCGCGACATGATTGATCCGCGAGAGAAACACCGTGATTATAATTGAGTGAGAACCGTCAGGAAAATAGGAAACACCGAAACAGTTTTAAGCGCTCGTTATGAAGCCTGTAACTAGTTTAAAGAGACGATTGGAAAACCAATCATTGAAAATTTATGCAATTTATTTATGAAATTGCAAAGATACAGTCCGAAAATAAGTTCATTCGATCCGAATGGAATTAATCTCTCTTATAATAAAAAGTAATTAGATCGTATCTCGAGATAAAATCTTTTATCGCAATCAAGAATAAACTGAAGGTAAAGATCTCAAAAGGGATTTAGCAGAAAGATCGGATTAAAGTCGTCTCTTTTTTATAGATCTTGTGAATTTTAGATGAAAGCTTTACGTCAATTCATCTTTGTCTGCGAGAAAATAATCTAGCATTGATAAGATAGCTCCGATATGATCGTGTCGAAGACAACGTCGTGAAAAGCGTGGCTGACAACTACGAGTCCAATGCATTCGACATTACGAAATTACGCGAACGCTAATCCGTCTTTATACCGTTGTACGACAACAGCAGAGAACCAAGGATGGGTAACAACGTTTCCGAGCATTATACATGCGCGCCTGACAGAATTAATTTAGCCACATACAAATCCGTCTCGCAATTTCATGGCACGAACTGCAACAAGCAGCGGGGAGTCGCGGAAACTCGCTACTGTCGATATTGTACAAAGTCGTATTTTAGAATCAACGACGCGCGCCACGCGGTGTATTTACTCTGTACGATGCAATTCGCTCGCGCGATCCTCGAATTTCGTTTTGTGCACGTGAGAATTTTTACACACACACACAGTTGCTATTTCGTGACTTTATAGTATAAATAACACCTGGAAAAGGTACCTCGTGCGTTAAAACAAGTAACACGCGCAAGTTAACAAGCAGTTTATGTGTTTAGCGATATTACTCACTAAAGGAAGATAAGCAAATTTCAAATTTACTTTATAAAGAAGTTTTCTTATAAAATTTAAAAGAGAGAATATTATCTAAATTTATTTAACTTTGTCGTATATATTTATTTAAATATAAATTTTATAGAGACGAAATATTCTCCAATTTTTATATCAGTACATCTATTATAGAAGTTATGACAAATGTCATTCTATTACTGGCGAGCAAATGAAAGAAAATCCTATTATGTAGATATAGAAGTTCTTTTTTGCCGTGTGACAGGACGACATTGATCGTTTTCGTCGCGAGAACATATAGTGTTTGTTGTCAGTTCTATCTGAGATTTGTAGCGATAAATCAAAAACCAGTTGATAAAAAAGTAACGATCGAGCATGTCACTGCAAATGAAGTGTTAATCTGTACGACGCTTGACAGACCGCAGTTTTCAATTCTTACACGGAAAGAACGATTTTACTGAAGTATTCAGAAATTTAGCTACATTGAAAAAATGTATTAAATTTTAATAAATATTTGCTCGAATAATACTAACACTATGTATTTATATTTACAAGAAACATTAATTTGATTTAACTATCAATTTGTTATTAAATATAAATAATTATTTACTGTGACTAAATTTTTAGTTAATACTATTGAAAAATGATATATTATTAAGTAATACATTTTTTCTCAGTAAAATAATTTTGTTTCAATTATCGAAATAATTATGATGTAAGTTGTTCAAACTGATTACTAGAATGTTAAAACTTTTTACATCTTTGTCATCCACGCTTAAAGCATTCTACATAATTATTTCGACGGTCCAACAATATTATTTTCAGATTTGTATCTTATAGCTAAATTTTGAGATGCTTTAACAAAAGCGTTCTTTACGTGTAGTTGCTAATTCCAATTGATCATGTTATATTCGAGTTTACATTGTAACATTTTAACCGATCGCGGTATCTGTCGCAAAATTTCTTCGCATAATTTATTTTATTCGCCGCAAGCCGCGTCTCGGTCCAAATATCTACTTCCATAATGTATGATTACGCGATCCGTTGTCAAACGCCGCTTTTGGTGTTCGATCACTCGAAGAGAATCTTCGAAAAATGGAAATTCCGCGCTGCTCGTTCGCGTGCGTGCGTGCGGACGAGCCAGCGTGGTGTGCGGGCACCATGTCTCATCTTATCCACGACACGCAGGGTCTCCGGGCGAGAAGGGAGAACTGGGCCCGACAGGACCGCCTGGCCTACCCGGCGAGAAGGGTACTCGGGGAAAGCAAGGGAAGAGGGTAAGCTTCAGCGAGGTCCTCCGACCGCCGCCGACCATCGACCAAAGTAACCCCGTATGACCATCCATCCACCCCCATTCCTATTCAGCCATCCATCCATCCGACCGATCCCGTTATCCGTTGATTGAATCCGAACGTAGCAGGAAGCAGAAACAAATTAAAAGAAGAAAAAAAAAAAGAAAGGGATGGCCCATCCAATCTGCTTCCCGATACTCTCTTGAACCTTCCCGTTGCATCCTACGTCGTCCCGCATGCTATGTGCATGTTTTTGCATGATAACGAAAGTACGTCGAACACTCACGTCCCTCAGACGCTGATAACCGCATGCCTCTTGACTTGGGATGTCACCATTTAGATCTCTTATGTGTGTAGCATGTGATGTATGTAACCGTAGTTTTCTTCCGCGTGGAATTCAGTATGTTTTTTTTTTTTTACAACGCGTCATAACACATGCCTCTCCAGTCTAAATCTATATATCGATGTGTATATAGACCGATGTTTGTCAGCAAAGTTTCCGTCACGTGGCTCTAGAGATTACCTGATTTGATATTCCCGATTACGTCGCTCTTAATTCCGCGTGGGAGGAACGAGTCTCCTCTTGAAGCGCTACGTTTATATATCGGTTTTATCATATTTCATTTGTTTGCTCGTACCTCGATTTTAATCGATTTAATTTAGGAAATCAGGAAAATACGAGTATCAATAATCGATTTTTGCCTGACAATTTGATAAATTTCAGCATTAATTATCGAGATAAATCTAAATATGAAATTGCACTTGATTTATCTGTAAATTTCAATTATCGATCTTCTGCTTTTTGCCGATTAAATAATTCTCCGCGGTACCGAAGAGAACAAACGCCGTAATTCTCCCTTCTGCGTGAAAAACGCGCGCTTTTTTTTTTTTTTTATCCATTTTCACCTTCTTGGTTTCTTTCGCCCTACTTTCGAGCATCAGCGACGTCTCGAGCTTTTTCCGCGGAATATTAGATTTTGTAATCTTCGAGATCTCTCTGGTTCTGAAAACGAGCGACTCCGCTCGCGCTGCGCGAGATGCTTCGAGCCGTAAGCACGACGCGCGTGCACAGCACAGCACGGCACGGCACTCTTCACGCAGTCACGCGAGCATGAGCACGTACGTCACTCCGTCACATTTGCATCGTCGAATAAACTGCAGCCGAACAGCATCGTCACTCGGTTACGGTTACGGGTTGAGGGAAGTTCCTCGCCGTGAGGCAGTTTGTAATCTCGCTTCGCTAAGATGTTTACACCTTTTATGTAGCCGTGGTTGCGCGACACGAAGAAACAGCGTTAAAGAAATGCAAAACGAATCTCCATTTGATTCTGTGTTTAAAATTTTAATTTCGTGTAAAAAAATATAATTAATCTCCACGATGTTTACTATCTGGAAAAACTTGGGAAACCTGCAATTTTCAGGGAATTTCGTGGAATTTTATCGGTACTCGGAGAAATTTGTAGAATTTTACATTTAAATTTAATTTCTGTGTTTTTCTGAAAACATCGTTTTCTCATCACTTTTTTCTTAATAATGCAAAATGTTGACGATTAGCGATAAGTACAGCAAACGCATTTACGTACATTTATATACATCCTCGCGAGTTAGTATTTTAAATATCAAGGTAAAAATAGAAGATAATATTCAATAGAAGAGAGTGACATTATATATTGTAATGAATCTTTGTTGTCGTATAAATTTTGCAGCAATGATGGGAAATGGTAGATATAGTCTCTCGTGGAATTTTCTACTAATTTCCAATATATAGTTAGTTTGCATTACTTGAACACTCTTTATTTTGATGTTACATAAAAAATTCTCTAATCTTATCTGGAATTTTGAATAAAAATATCTGGAAAATCCGGGAATTCTCAGAAAATCTTTCCACGAGATTTCACATTCTGTTGGTCAATTAATTTCTCTTATTTGAATGTTACAATGCGATCGTAATGTATTTACAATGTAACAATAGCGATGGTTTTTAAATGCGGTCGCACGCACATGTATTCGATTCCGCATAGAATCAAGTAACATTGAATTTGAAATTCATACATTTATAAACTAACCACAGAATATTTCATGTGTTATTTGTTATTCGGAAACGCGTTGTTACAATTTTGTCACTCTTGTCGCTATTTGGTTCACGAAACCGCATATGTATATTTTTTTACACGCAATATTTTCGCGCCTCTCTTTCAGGAACTTTCCTCGCCCGTCCGTGTCCACCTTCGGAATTGCATACGTAGCTCGAGCAACTGTTGGGACTCGTCTGTCCTATAAAAAAAAAAATGCGAAAAAATAACGATATTGAAAGTGAAAAGAAGAAAAAGTAGAATAATAAGCAGGAACGGGAAAAGAAAGTAGATAGGAAAAGAAAAGAAACAAACGTTGGTAGCAGCAAATAACACGTACCTATATTGCGATATCCGAGGCTTCTCCTCGGATTCTCCCTCTTCTCAACCCCCTAATTCTTTCTTTTTCTCTCTTTCTCTCCTTATTTCTTTTTCTCGTGTTTTACCTCTCGCGCGAACGTTGAGACATCGATCGTCTCCACGTATTCGCGCTCATCACCACCGGCGCCATTCGCGAACCGCAGACTGTGAGCTGGCAAACAAACAAGCAAGCAAGCAAGCAAGCGAGCGAACAAGGGTGGCGGGCTTAAAGCGCTCTCCTTCCGGCCGAATTACACGCCTACGCGCCTAACACCTGTAAACTAGTGCGCCTAAGAGCTTGGCGTGCGACCGTACCACTCTTTCGGGTCCATAGTAAGTATACTCGTAGATCTGCCGAGCGATCGTAACTCTTTCGATGGCTATTGCAAACGGCGACCACATGCGGCGCATCCTCTGCCAGACGCTTGTATTTTTTTCCGCGAATGTCAATACCTCTAGAATTAAGAACGCGCGACGCATTTTTTAATTGTACGAAAATAAAGTGGAAGTTTCTTGACACGCGTATACTCGTTAATTGATTTCCATTGTCACAGCGTGTATTCACTTCCTGAACACTCGTGGTTGTGTCAAAAATTAATGAAACGCTTCGACATGGTTCGTTCTGACCGTAGGTGACCACCGTGGCATTTAACGTGTTTGAAATTGTCAACCGAAACGTGATATTCGAAATATAATTTTATTGATGAAATTTGTTCTGGTTTGAGACAAGAAATATTAGTTTCTTAAGATTTCCTTTTCCGTGCCAAGTCGAAATGTGATTGTATTTTAACATAATTTTTAGGCAATCTCGCGTGGCATCGCATAAAGATAAAAACTTCATATTTTCTCGAATAAATGTATTAATTAAAAAATATAGTATATTAATGAAAATTCAATTAAAATTAAATTAAATTAAATTAATAATAATGAAAAATGGGATTTTTTTGTGGTTATAATTTATCAAAGAATGTAATACTATTCATTTCTTTTATTCTTAACTTTTATTACGTTACGTCTACATTTTCCGCACTATAATATTTTAAAATATAGGATAATGAATTTTTTTACTAATTTAAACGTAATAATTGAAAATTACACTTGAGTGAGTATTATATATGTAGATGTGATAAACATTTTCTACGAAATAATTATACTTGTACGATAAGCTATTGTGCTATGAAAACAAATTTCATATAAATTAACGATATTAATTTTTAAACACATTCATCATTTTATGTACATTTAATGTGCAAATATGTGTTTCTTTTATAATCTATGAAAGTTGGTCTGTTTGTTTTATGTGTTTATGACAGAAAACTGCACTCTGTCCGTATTCAGAAGTTATTAAATTCTCCATAATTCTATGTATTTTACTTTTATGGAATTATAACAAGCCATTTTTTGCAGTGAAATGGCTAGTGAACGAGTATATTTTTGACAGCGAATTTTATCACAATTTAATACTAAAAGCATGACAAATTTTAAGGTAATATGAGTAAAAGAAATACACAAGTTTTACATCTTCTAATGGAAAAACACATATATTCAGATAGAAGGATTACATTGAATTAAGATGCAATGAGAGATTTTTTATTGAATGTTACTTATTATGTTTTATCACACAGAAGACAATCAAGTATCTTATTTCCTTTATACGAAATTAAAGGTGAATGTTAAAAAGAGTCCGATTTCTGCTAAAAAAAAGTGTGAGTAAAAGGAATAACATTTTTTTAGTTTCTATGATAAATAGTAATTAAAATATTAAATAATAATTAAAAAATTTATGGCTGTTTTGAATACAAATTAAACAAGAATATTGTAATTTCAATAAATACACCATGTTCCTGTTCAATTTTTTGATATATTTTCTATTCACCCCGAATTTTTTATTAGTATTATTAGGTATATTCAGTAAAAAAAGTTAAAATCTATAAAAAAAAACTATTCTTTTTACCTATGCATACCTTTTTAGACAGAAATTATACTTTTTTAATTAACTCTTTCTTTCTGTCGTATAAAGAATCGTTTTCTTAGCATAATTGCCACTGCATTTCGCGATTTCTTTTTCGCGACTATGCGGAATAATTTTGCAAGTAAATGGAAATATAATGCACTCGCAAGAAAATGCGATTAAATGCAAAATATACGCAAATCTTGTAATCCGGCTTTTATAGACACGGTTTCAGACACTGAGAGTTACCCTTCGGAACAACTTCGGCAGTTCCGCTGCAGTTTCGCGGTCGAACCACGACGGTAAACTCGCAGATACACGTGTCCGCCCGCGATACTTACCTCCAGCTCACCGAACCGTAAAATTCGCCATTCAACCACAAAGCAAGCTCGCTCGCAACTTCGCCCGTCCGCTCGATTTGCCTCTCTAACGAGACGCGAAACCGGGATGCTTGTTCCGGATGCGCTGCGTGCGTCCCGATTGCAAAGCCGCGGCCAAGTATACGTTTAACTACAGCTAACGTATACGGAGTACGCCAATTTGTTCAAAAATGTCTTAGAGAAAGATCCTCGGAGTTGATCTATCATGAAAGTACCTTTTACGGATTTTTACGGATGGTCCCTTAGCTTGTTCTTCATCAGATTTGAATTTACGTGCAAAATTTAATTTAATTAAATAACGTTCGACAATTACAATTACTATGTATTAATTATATTACTACAGTTAATAATTTTAGTTTAAAATTTTTGGACATACATGCATTGAAAAAAAACTAAATTTTAATCAATAATTTGTTTGAGAATAGAGAGTTTCAAGTAAATATTTACTGTAAAGATTTACATATAGTACTATTCCAAGAGATATACCTATATTAAGATTTAGTAAATTTTTTCAGCATGAAGGAGCTAATATATAATCGTCTTCAATATTCTGGCTAAGGAGAAATAGACTTCCAAATTCGTCGGAAGATCTCTAAGATATTTTTGGGTGGACTATGTATAATATATACAATAGATGTCCACGGCATTCGCCATTGTTGTTTTTAGGATGACAGAGGCGATACTATATATTGAGCGCTCTTGATGTGCGTGCGTGCGTGCGTGTGTCTGTGTGTGTGCGTGTGTGTGTGCGTGCGTGTGTGTGTCTGTGTGTGCGCGCGCGTGTGCGTGCGTGTGTACAGTTAGCGAGTAGTGATCCTCGGCGTGTAGTGTACGTAGCTTGTGTAACTAATTTGTGTTTATGTAGTGAGTAACACCACCCCACTACTCTCCCCCGTGTATCGGTTCGATTCACTAATCACTAATAACCACTACTACCCCTGGCTTGTTGTTGTGTTGAGGCTCTCGCAACTCTATCGACTGGCGATCGCAAGCGCCTGCAGGCTGTCGCGTAAGTATTTAAGATCCTGTCAAAGTTTGTAGCTTATATTGCCGCGACTGTGGTATCTCTTTCTCTCTCTTTCTATGCTAATTTTCGCGCGATATTAATATTTTTATCTATTTTTATTTAATATTTTTTCTGTCGGTTCCTATCCCTCGTTCACTTCCTCTCTCTTTCTCTCTCGCATAACATTTCGTATATTTTCAATGAACCACATTTCGTAAATTATATGTATAATTAAAATTTTAATTTTCTGAATTTAAAGGACTCCTTTATGTGTTTTTGTTACAACTTGTTAATTAACACGGTATAAATCATATCACGTTACATTTTAACGATCCATGTAAATTGAAAGGTTTTATTGCTGCGTAAATGTACGTGGAACTGCCGATATGTAATAAGTTAAAATTTATGGGATACCTTTCTGCGTTTTGCGAACAAGAAAGGATCCTATTAAGCAGTAGGACTGGCTCTACAGGTTGTAATTATGAGAATAGACTATAAATCATATAGATGTTATCGTATCACGAGAGAGAAAGAGATACATTAGTAGTCCTTAATTTTCTATTAAATTTGAACCCTAACTAACGAATCCTTCGTAGTCGCATGAGTATTAGTAGTCGTTGTCTACGTCATGAAGTAAATTTATTTAGAGTGTGTTTAATTGTGTAGTACAAAAGTAGATGTGCACTGACGATCTTGACACTGATGATCTTAAGGTAAAAAAGATATTCAATTATGAGGTTATCATTTAAAATTAAATTGTGGAAATTGACCAGGCATGAAGTATCAAGATCGATCAAATTAATTGACGTAGATCTCGAAAGTCCATCCTCTCCTCCTCTCCCTCCTCTCTGAAACAAGACAAATTAACGCTTCGTTAGAAGCAAAAATGAAAAAGAAATTGACAGCGCACATGGAGGACCTGGTTGGATCTGACCTTGCAGTGTCATTGTAGGGTTTCAAGGGTGAGAGCGGTTTGGCATTGGCGAGGGGTGCCCCCGGCCTGCCGGGTCCGAAGGGTGAGTCCGGCGAACGGGGTTACCGGGGCGAAAAGGGCGCCATGGGAGATGCGGGTTTACCAGGTAGATTATCATTCTATCGCGGCGGGAAAAGTTGACGGTAAAGGACGAAAGATAAGCACCGAAAAAAGCGATCGAGTTCTCTTATTCCTTGTGGAGTTATTCTCCCATAAAAATACGCGTTTTCTTCATACATACCTTTGGTCGCGCCTTTCCGTCCCCATGTACTCGGACAAAAAATCCGAGAATTACAGAACTCGTATAATCTTTCCTAAGACGATGATTAGCAGGATAAATTGCCACGTCTTCTTTCAGAAGATAATCCGCGCTCGACGACGATTAATGTCACCAATCAGATTTTATCGCTAAATTTTTTATTTTCTTTTTTTCCATTATTTCTTTTTTTTTTAGTTGATTTTTTTATTAGTTAACATTCGATACGAGAAGCTTTAAAATTCATGGTATATCGAGTTTCTTCTAGGAAAATAAACAGGCAAATATTCGTTATACGGTTCGTTTATTGAGCCATCAATGGCACCGCACCTTTTTCCGAATATTTTTGCATATAATCGTATGAAAGAATAATGTCTCATAGTTTCAAAATGTATACCAAATGAATTCGATCGTAATATTAAAGAATCTTATTTTTCTATTTGATTATGCAAACAGAGAATAATGCGGGTCCACTGAACACGGGCGTGAGATCAGTTCAGGTTTCTTGTTTAACTTTTCGAAGATATGTAATAGCAAAACGATTCGAAAAGTTCCCTTGCAAAACTTGAAAACGACCCTGCGTTAGCCCCTGAGGAAAAAGAATTCGAAGGCTGTGCCCTCGATTTTCTTCCGGTAATGCGCGTCAACTTCGCCTTCCGTGAAAAATTTTAATCAAAAGTTAATAACGTCGATCGTTCGATATAGGAAATTAAATATTAATCCGCTTCGTATCGAATTGGATATTTAATTAAACGTGTTTTCTAAAAGGATCATCGGGCGATCGATATTTATCACTGCTATGTGTGACGTTGCGAATATTATTGCGCATTTAGCAGCAAACGTTGAGGGATTGTTAACGTGACAGTCTTTTGATAAATGCTTTTCGTGATGTCAATCATGGGTATCGGCAGACAATGCAAAAGATATTAATGTGGTAATAATATTTCATTCACTGCCACTTTAAAACCAGTTATTACAAATTAAACATATGTTTTGTTATGATTTGCAAAATTACTCTTTATTTTTTCATCATTAACCCGTAATAGGAACATATTTTTTATGACATAAAACGAACATGTGTTCCTTGGAACCCACTATTTTTATTATATTATTAGTTTTTGCAATTTTTGTTATTAATTTTATTTAGTTTTGTTATTAGTTTTATTTTCTTTAAGAATTGAAACAATTGAAACTTAGCACAAATATGATAGTACGATAAATAATTAGCTTGTTTTATTTTCTTTATTAATTTTATATCATTTTTTAAATATATAATACATTGGAATTTAGCATAAGTATAGTACCAAAATTAGTCTACATGAACAGAACAAAATGATGAAAACATGGTCGTGAAACATAAAATTATTCCAAATCATTACATTCGCTATGGTATATAAAATCCACATGTCCCAGTTACGGGTTAAAAAGAACACGCGATCCGTATGCATGTTCAACAATCTCCGATATTTAGAGCAACAATAAACGTCGAGTGTCTGTGGATATCTCTCGAGTGAGCCGTTTCACCGAAACGCGATAAACACGCCGGAAGTATTCCCGGCACGGGGAAATCGCTCGGAGCAAAATGAAGTCGGGAGCGGAAAAACGGAAGGCGAAGTGGGCAATGCGCGGGGGTTTTCTTGCCACGTGCGCGTTTACGGAATTGCGGAGCGTCATTGATCGCGCTCACGCGCGCGAATTAATCTAACTTCGGCGAGCTCGAGCAACCGAGCAGCTCACGGTCGGCAAATTCGCTTTCAGGGCCCAAGGGAGAGATGGGACTGCAGGGCTTGCAGGGGCTCAATGGAACCGACGGCGATCCTGGTATCCAAGGACCCCCCGGATTACCGGTAAGTGGGACGCAAATGAGAAATGGTTCCCCCAAATCTCCTCGTCTTCTACACCCTTCAGGGTGTAATATTCGAGAAACGTTATGGCCACCGTGTTTTACAAAGGTGACGAAAATTTAATATCCCTCGCGTCGTTGGACTTTTGCATAATGCCAGCGTATTTTACGTTGCAATGATTGTTGAATCAAGTTGAGCAAATGCGAGAGAAAACCTCTCGAGAATTGTAGGAAAACAAATTTATATAGTATTATGTACTTATTGTGCGCTATATATTTTCTGCTGTATTTTTAAGATTCATTTTTCTTTCGATCATCAATATATCGCCTCCTTACCTCAAAAATGTTACAAAAAATGTGATTTTCGAGTTATTATTATAGATGAGTTAAGTAAACATTATCAATTATTAAAAGTGAACTATCTTTATTTAAAAAATCATCAAAATCGACTTTAAAAAAAAAAACGGTTTTTCAAGGTTATGAAATAAAAATGAAAAAATCAATTTATGAAAGAATTAATTTCTTTTTCCCGATATATTTAATAATTTTCTACCAAGCTTTGCCTTTTCTGAAAAACTTAATTTTTTACTTCAATGATACAAAAAGCGCATTATTATATAAAATTTTAATAAATTTTCTCCGTTCCGTTAATAATAAATAATTGAGTATTTTGAGAATTATACTGAATATATCTGTTATATTTCTACACAATCGAATACTTGCGTTGTCCAAAGAGACATTTAAAAAACTATTAAACGCGTTATATTTCAACAAGGATATATTTGCAATATATCTAACAAGTATTGTAATACCTATTTGCAAAATATCCCTTCCGCACTGCGCGCTGAACTCCCACATAATAATACCTGTAACATTATATAATATATCGACGCAATTTTCAGTTGCGTTTATACTATAATGTTACGAATGTTATGAGTTAAATCTAATTAATGTACAAGCTCGATATTACGTAATACAAGGGGAAGTTTTTTAAAAGAAAGATTAAGGAAGAGAATAAAAAATAAAAATACAACCACAATATGTACGAATACATTACATATAAGCATATAAAGAATACGGTTAAAGAGTTTCTGTTTGGGATAGTAATAATTACATAAAAATTCCTAAATACATTTATTCAATCAGACTACATATTTCAGTTTTACAACACAATCATTTAATTGAAGTAATAATGTCCAGAAATTAACTTTTGATCGTCGAATTGACGCTACTAATACATTTAAAGAATAAAGTTGTAATATGTTGTTTTATGTATGTTTGTCCCTTATTTCAGGGAATATCTGGACCTAAAGGTGAAAAGGGCGACTACGGCGACATTGGTCCCCCCGGCCTTATGGGACCTCCGGGTCTACCCGGCCCACCGGTACGTAAATGATCTTAAACGTCATAGCCTCAATGACCCTTCTTATCATAAATATTTCATCTTATGTGATTCTACTTGTCGACAGGGCTATCCTGGGCTGAAAGGCGAAAAGGGAGAGAAAGGTGAATCGGTGAGTTTATCAAATTCTATTACTAGCGTGGATTGTTGCTGCGAAAATTAATGTGATGCCAATAATTCATCTTTCGATAAAGAAATAATAAAAACTTAATTTATATAATATATGATAAAACTATAATAAAAATGATTTAGAAATAAATTATATAAATATAGACAATGTGAATTATACAATAAGAGAAGTGGATAAGTAATTATATTGTATATCACAAATTGATATAAACATTTTTATTTAATATCTCTTTAACTTGTATATTTTTAATTACATTTTTATTATTTTATCTTTTTAATATCTTGACCTAATTCGAATCATGGCTACAATAATCGTATGAAATATGATCTCACCGGAATGATTTTGCAGAAATTAGTTTTATTCAGGATCCAATCAATTTAAACAAGATTCTATTATCGAAGAATAATACCTATATCTTTTACGGACGATCGTCCGATAAATGTAGCTGCCATGATTTCGATTGCGAAGTTGCCGCATCTTCCATAAATGCCATCATATTTTCGTCACAATAGTTTCACGATCGATCGCAGTTTCGGTGCGATTGCGATAACACCAGAACTGCGATTTCGACGCAGGCGTGCGTTAGGCAGTATCTCACGATAAAATAAATTTCTTTTCATGGCGGGACATCGACCTTCCACCCATAGAAGTACAAAAAGCTCAGGCGAAGACAGGTATGTGACAGTTTGTATCTGATATCTTCGTGCCTTCATCCTCGATCGCGCGACAAAAGACTCGCCCTTGATCGGAGAAGGATGCACGAAGGAAAATCGTTAATGTTACAATGAATAGTGTAACGTGATAGTAATACAGTATGTATGAACACGAATGCGCGTTTGTTCGCAGGGAGACGGCACGTTCGAGATGAATGCCGGAGAAGTGGTAAGTTAACTCACGAAAAAGCATCCGTTTCTCTCACGAATGCTAGTTACTGTAATATACGATAACGTCCGGTTTGTAAAAAAAAAAATAAAAATACGGCGGACAATATTACTTCGCTTCCGTGTTGTCTGTTCGAGCGGGTTTTAAATTTTCGGTCGCGCCATTGCGACATCGACTTTGTGCTCCGTTATGGCCGCGTTTTATGTAGTTATGTAACCCTTTGCGGCACGATTTATGGGGATTATAAAGCAATTCGCTCAAAGCCGTAAAAATTGTCGAACAAAATCCGTTTTTTCTCCTCGATTTTATGATACATTCAGTCATGTCGGAATTTTTAGGAAAATAAAATGCAACAATAATTTACTTTTTTCTAATTATTTTTTTATTATAATTTTCAATTAAAGTTAAAATCATTTCTTTTTTATATCAAATTTTATTGGACCGTGAAAATTTAAACCAAATAAATACCGATGAGAACATGCCGTAACGATCAAGCTAGATCTCGGGTGCTTCTATATAATGCGTGATGTGAATTTATATACTACGTTTGTAGATTTTTAATTGCGCGCCGAATTGTTTTTTTTTAATTGTTCTTTTTTATAATTATAGTCAATCAAAATACCTCTATAACAGTTTTAGATCTCAAAAATTAATTCGTTACGGAGGAACAATCTTTTTTTCATCGATAGTAAAAAGGCATGATGCGATTTTTCGTGCTAAATAATCTAGTGAATTATGAGAAATTCTGTATTCTATTATATATAGGACGCGCGTTCAGATTCCCACCCAAGTGGTTCTCAGACATCATTTTATTCTTGTTTAATATTCGGTGAACAAAAATAAAATAATCTTTAGATTTTAGATAACACTCGGGTAGGAATCTAAACATAGTCTTGTACGGTGCAATTTTAGTGGTTATTAATAATAGCTGCGTTGAACAGAAAAAGCAGCTCTGTAACTGCAGTTGGTAGATTCTTTAATGTGATTGATATAAATCCAGTGAGAAATAAAAAACAAGACCAATCACATTAAAGGATTTTACAACAGTTGCAAAGAGAGGAAGAAAGCTGCTTGTTCTCCTGAACGCGCCTATTGAATCGTATGTGATATAGGACGAAAAATCACATTGTGTGCCTCTGATTTAAGTATCGATAATATTTAATTCGTGATATTATTGATGTATACAGATAATGGGCCCGCCCGGACCCCCAGGACCTGCTGGTATTCCCGGACTGCAGGGCCCACCCGGAATCAAGGGTGACAGAGGACACGATGGCGCCAAAGGCGATTCTGTCAGTAACCATTACCTATCTATTGTCCGCGTGTATAGAATATGAAAGCAGTTATGCGCGTTCGCGTTCGCGCGATGGGAAACGAATGTTGATTTCTCTCTTTGAGATTGCAGACATCGAATAACAAAATCGATCTGTTTGCATCGTTTAGTTTTGTTCGCAAAACCATCGCGAAAAACCTTTTATACATCAAGCTTTATATTTTTATTTATCTCCGTCATACTATCGCTGAATTTAGGGAACGTAACAACTACAACGAGTCCGGTTATGATCGCAATAATAAATAGCGTTATTTTTTCACGTTTATTAGTTTAGTCCGTGCTGCAGCGAACAAAAGTTTACAACGCGCTAACTAACAGGATTAAAAAAAAAATCATTCTCTTTTGTGAACATTTTAACTTTCTCTTTTTTACACTATATAGTGACGATATGAAAAGTAAATTACAGTCGAGAAAGATGTTCGTTCTGATCGCAAAATAATAGGAGACAAAAAGGGCCGCAGACGTAGTTGAGAACCCTTCGTACGCGAGAAAGATCGCGTTTGCGATGTGACTCCCGAGGCGTGAAGCTATTCACGCCGGTGATCTTTGAGATCACCTTTTTGCGTGCGCGACACCATCGCGATGCGGACAAGCCCGTTCTCACGCGTCGCTCTTTCTTTTTTCACGTTGCAGGGAGAAAAGGGTGCCAAAGGGGATCCTGGTCCGATGGGACTGCCCGTACGTATTTTCTCTCCAGATTACACACAGCATGCACTCAAACACACGCACACATGTGTAGCCTTAAGCGCGCTCTAAAAAGAAATGCGGATACAGGACGCACAAAGGCAGATAGAACGCAGACGGGACCCCCCGAACGTTCTCGGAAAAAAAAACTGTCCTGTGTCCTTTGCTTTTTCTGCAAAAAAAATCGCGCTCCGAAAAAATTCCGAACGTTGCGTTGTTAGCGTTAGTATCTCTTTCAGTCCATTTTGTGAGTTTACTGCAATTTTTCGATACATTTTTTCGTCTAAAAACAGAAAAACAACGTTGTTTATTTTTTTTTATCAACACACTAAAATATATGATACACAATATTTCTTCCTTCGCTCTTTATCAGTGAAAATTTTGGGACTGAAAGAGTCGTAGGGTATTGTGGCACGTGGTAATTAACGAATTGGACTTTATCGCCAGAACGAAGTAGGTACACGAGAAAGAAAGACGGGAGGAGGCGTGCGCACAATGTTACGAAGGTATACGCAATCTCTCTGCATGACAAAAAGACCGAATACAAGTTAGATCCTGCATATATCCTCCTCCGAGCGACGGAAAAGTCGCGCGCTTGATCACCACCTGCGAGACCCGCGCCGGCCGCCGTGCGCGGGGTCGCCAAACCGCGTCGAATGCGGCGGCGAGACATGCTGATGGGCATTCTGTCTATCTACTTTCAGGGCCCCATGGGACTGAGGGGAGAGTCCGGAAAGCCCGGGGATTCCGGGAAACCTGGCGCCATGGTAAGAACGCGGACCTCCCGCTCCTAACGTCATCGTAACTTGGCGTCGCCGCCGCGGAATTCGCTGATAAGCCGATAAGTGCGCTCACATTATCGCGCGACGCAGCCTGGCGAAAAGCGTGCCTCTCGATCGCCTCTCGAGTACGCTTTACTTCTGCGTGTACATACGATACATACAAAGGGGCTTAGGGTGAGAGGGAGCGTCGACGAAGCGCGACTGTCGTCACGTCGAGAGTGGCGATTCGAGAGGAGGCGAGCGGACGCCTGGTAAATACTTTGCGCGCGCGAAGACAGTCGCTTTCTACCGACGACGACGACGACTGCCGTTAACGCGTTATAGATCGATAGAATTGCAATCGCGAGGCGTTTAGGACTCTCCAAGTCGACTGGATTCCGTCGAGATGGATCTCGAGCGCCGTCGGTCGGTCTCGTTTACCAGCGAGGTCGCTGCGACTACAGACTCTACGTTCGAGGTGTCTTAACGCGAAGTTCAACGTCAGCCTTCTTCGGAATTGCGGAGACTCGATCCACTTCGGTATGACGGAACGCCGAGGTCGCGCATTTTTCCTCTCGACATCGGGAAATACATTACCGATCGAATCACACACGCGTGTGTTCTTGAAAGAATACGCACCTCGGCGTTGAAAAGTCTTCAACGCCGACGGTGTTCCTTCGCGCCCGACTTCGCTCGAGAACGAAAGCCGAAAACCGGATACAAGTTCCCTACACTGGAAAAAATTTGCTAAATTTTATTACATATTTATTTGAATAGTACTAAGGAAAACATTTACTTAATGAGTAAATAAATATTTACTCAATAAACAAAATGGTATAGCTAAATTAAATCGATGCGGTTTGTATCAAATAAATATATGTTTACATTTAGTAAATATTTACGTAGAACTATTCTAACGAATATTTATTAAATTTAGTATTTTTTCAGTGTATAGCTTGCGATCGTATTTTTCACAGCGTTTACAGGCGTGGAATAGATTCGTCGAGCGATTCGATGTCTAATGTTGGCGACTACAAGAACGTGGAAGGGACGTCTTCCAGGGTATCAAAACTTGTCAAAGAGTTGGCCACACGAAGTGAAAATTACGCCGATCGGCGATATCAGAATGAAGCTGTATATGTCCGGTTTACTGCCTAAAATTATTTTAGAAGACGGATTCTTTGACGAATTTTTGAAGGCATATTTTCGACGTATTCTCTAATTAAATTGCCTGAAATTATTGGCTGAGAAAGAAATTCCGATTCGTCAAAAAATTTGCTGCTAAAATATATCTTTCCGAGATCATCCCTGTATGTTCAATGCCGTGTATACCGCGGAGCCGCTTACTCTGCAAAGAGTTTAAACCAGATTTGGTGAAATCACGTTAATGAATTAATTAATTCGCGGGCAAAGAGACCGCGATACACCACGTGTTCGCTTTAACGAGGTCTATGACATTTGGTTTATGCCACTTTCAAAGTGAGCTGCTCGGTCCACGCGTTAATGCTACCATCCGTCCTCTTAACTTACTCTGCATGTTGGCTTGATAAGCAAGCCGTTCGCGCCGACCGAGAACAGATACTCGATCGTAGACACGAGTACTCAGAGTTTTGATGGATCTAAAAATGATCCGAACTTCGCCGTCCCGCTAAATTTTGTGTCATCAGTGTATACGAAAAGAAGCGTACGGACGCCGTTTCTCCGAACAAGTCATTAGTGTAAGCATGTAAGGACTTCTCGATCTTATCGAATTAAATGCGAAAACGGTGCTTTAATTATCGCACTATTGCAGCATAGCAGAGTAAAAGTATACGACATTATTTCATCGCATTATATATACGAAATATATTCGTGTACTATATTTCGCGATATTTTATCCCCTCGAATCGCATTCGATAAATTTGCGTACGTTTTACATAAAACTTGAGGAGCGTGCTTTTTATTTAGAGCTCAATTTTTATTTAAAACAAAATATATTTTACAAACGTGATAAGTTAGAGAAGAAAGAACAAAATTAGATGAAGGCGCAGTTTTACTGATCTAGAAGTGTCGAAAAAAAAGTACAAGTTTTATTTTCGTCTAAACTAATTTGACGAGCCTTGAGAAACAATTTTCAGTCTGTCCCTTGTCTGGCAAGATCTACTTTTCCGTTGTGCCTCTCTTGAGAATAATTCAGTCGGCTTGTACTTAACGAAAGCTCGCTCTCGCAGCATTGCCGGCACCTAATAATAACCCAGCCATTTATCATGATTCCTCTTCGTTCTACATTTCTTCGTAGCATTCCAGTCGCATTTCACGAATCATCAAGAATTCCGCACAGTTACATGGGAAGGGAAATTCCGCAAGATATATTGATGAAGGGGAAAAAGGGGGAAAGAAATAGAAGGGAATAAAAATTAAGACTCCCGATCACATCGCTATTGTACTAAATTGTGACGTCAAAAGCGAGAAATCGGACGTGATCCTTTCTCTTTTGCGGTAGAAGTTAAAGTATAAATATAAAAACAAAATTCATATCGAGGTACAGGTATCGCGTTAAAAATTTTTCCTGATTACTCGTTGCTGGCGTCAGGATAGCTTCATCAGGAACATCGATAACGTCTCTCATCATCCAACACTGCTCGATCAGGACGCGAACGTTGATAAAAACGTTGATTGACAATTAAATTCGCTAAAAGCGGCTTCTCGCGCAGAGTACAGCTGGATGCGTTCTAAATCATCATCGCTTGCATAAAGCTTGCATAAAGAAGCAGCAGCAGTCGAGGCGTGGCAGCGAAAGAGGGAGAACGGTGGGCAAGTGTCGGTGTATTTCGGCTCCCTTTTACATTCGGCAAGCACCTTTTACGAGAATCGTGGGAAACGTCGGTGATATCGCGCGTGAGCATCGGTCGCGAGAAAATTTCATGTTCGCCGTACAGTATAGTAAAACCGTTTCCGAGACTGGCCGCCACGAATAACAAGTAGGAGGTACACCTCGTCCCTCTCTCTCTCTCCCTCTTTCTCTGCCTACTCTTTCGGCTTTTTCGCTCTATTCCGTCGGGTGTACTAACGTGCTATCGATAGTTTGCGATTTTCCTGCGAAACTCTAACGTACAGCTGAGAAACACGGGTGCGTGACGTTTTCATCAATAATAAAGTCGATACGACATGCTGTTTGGCGATATAAACTAGATGTCAACTACATAAACGCTTGGTGGACGCGATTTAACGTTTACGATAGTCAATAATTTCGACAAGCGTTTCTCGGCGACGTGGTCGACAAATTCGGAGTTAACCGATCTTTTGTCCTTTTACGAAAGTGTTTTGCGAATGCTGATAGAAATGTAGAAAGGTTTCGATATCGTGAGTTACGATTCTCGCGTCAGCACGGGGATATCGCAAGATGTGATCACCGGTAGATGATCACTCGGCCTAAGAAGGATCTTATTCGAAGTGTACAACGAGATGCTGCTCCATTAAAGCATCTTTAAAGACGATCTCGATATATCTCGGAAAGTCGAAAATACTAACTACTTCCTGTGAAAGATCCGCGGTTGGTGTGCGGCTCTGATCGCACACGGAAATTGATTTACTCAAAATTGTCCCTTCAATTTTAAAATCCTAGAGATACAACAGATCGCAAGATCGCAAGAATCTCATTCGTGAGCTGGAATTAATAATAATTTTTCCACAGAAATTAATTTTTACACAAGAATTAAATAACAATCAATTGTATCGAAAATGTACTGTTACATCAAGCTTTACGGCACTTTGAGTCGTTTAAATCAACTTCCGCGTTAATCGATCGCACACCATCCTCGGCGTCTAAAAATACAAGGGGCAAGAAGAATCGCGAGAATGTACAGTGTAGAATATACGGTGTTCTCGGCGCGCCGTCACAATCGATGTACCGTATACCACGGACTATACGAGCGGACTACTTCTAACACCCTGTGTACACCCCGATAAATTAACGCAGATTTAGTCTTAAGAGGATAACTGGACGAGAGACTGCGCGAGAGAGCGAAACGAAGCTCCGTCGGACTCCACGCCGACGACCCTATCTGGCGGCAATTCTCCTGTGCGTGTAAAGTTTATGACGCCCACATATACATATTTAATACACGAGCACGAACACGTCATTTATGTATACAAACGCTCACACACGCGCGACACACGAAGGAACGTATGCGTGAAACGAGAAACGCAGTCGCGTCGAGATGCGCAAGTCGAGAGATGTATATAAATATACAGCGATTCTCAATCCTGTCGGTGAAATACATGATTTCTTCGAGACGGTCAAAAACGGAGTTTTCAGTTTTATTAGATACTCTTGCTCGCGCGCGAGTATCTCGTTATCAACGGCGAGGAAGCTGGAGTGTAAATCGATATGGAAACGTCTGTAATTATCGATTCTGTAGGACGAGGATATCTATGTTTGTTTTAAGTCGATTCGATATGCAGTCCCATTCTCGCCGAAATTTCCAGTAACGGGGTACTCGCGAGAGTGAGAGTACCTATTAAAAAGTTCCGTTTTAGTGCGCCGGATGGATCACGAAAGTTCGCCGATGAAACTCGAGAACGCGCTGTATACTCATTTGTATGTGTATGTCTGTAAATGTAAGTACAAGTAAAAGGTGCATATACACACGTAACTGCGTGTCGTGTGCAGGTATACACACACAGGCTGTCAACGTCGTGTCGAAGGTCTCATCACTATACGGATTCGCGTTGACAAACCCGAAAACTCGTCCCCGTAACGAAAACTTGACGAAATCTAATTACGATGATTCCCGATAGTCCAAGATTAAAGGATTTTCCTCGAATTATAAAACTGTACTCCGAGATGCGAGAGCAGCTTATTTTTCAGCTAATTTAAAACGAGTTTTGCCTTAACGAAAATTTCAACTTTACTTGCCAAATATTTGATCTTTTCGCCCGAGCGAAAGTCGACTACGCGATGAAAAACCCCATAATTGGAGGAATGTTTCAGTAGACACAGGAGACACTCTGTGTGCACATATATATATATATATATATATGCATATATATATATGTGTGTGTGTGTGTATATATAGGTATATGTACACACGAATCCTCAGGCGTGTGTGTGCGTGCGTTAATTGTTAAGGCGGCGTTCCTCTTAAGCCGATCAACTTAAGGCGACCTAATTGAATGCGTATGTGAATACTGACTCTAACTGCAGTTTTGTTTTACATTGTCCCGATTAATAAACAGAATGTGCATGTGCCTGTGTCCTTTGCTTCTAAAAACTGCCTACCAAATTAATGCTTTTACACATGATAATCCAGTAACATAATCAGATACCTTTGGCTTCTTTGCATTGTGCTCCGACTGTTTTGCGATCCGGGCCAATCCGGATAACGAGATCTCTGCTCACTTTCGTTCTTCCGTTCTCTCTATGTATTTGCATCTGTTGCAATGGAAAACGATTAAAGACAAGGAGAAAAGTAACAACCAAAAATTAACACGTGTTAATTTGCTGCGACCACGACGGTGGCGTTAATCGGCGGATCGTTCAGACCGGCGATTAATCTTGCTACCTTAGAAATAAGATCGAAAAGAAGGAAAAAAAAAAGAGGATAAGCACGAAGACGCGACGAAGCGTCGACGCGAAGTACGCTCGTTTTTTTTTTCTTTCAACTTTGCTCAAGCTCCCGCTTTACCTTCCACGACGCCGACCGCCCTCGATTGTCAGTCTGTCCCTCTCTCGAGTAGCTCTTTTTCTCTTCTCTCTTTCTCTCTCTCTCTCTCTCTCTCTCTCTCTCTCTCTCTCTCTCTCTCTCTCTCTCTCTCGGTGTCGAGATTAATTTTGATAATACGAAAGCGGGGGTAAAGATTATCTTGCGATGATGGGCCGAAGATGAGTTTCGTAGTTGAAACGCCTGAAGAACGGAAACTAAACGAATCTAATTCAGTACACGCCGAGTGAGAGTTTTATTCGCGGAAGAAATGTTTGCACATCGTTTTTAAGAAATAGCTCGAAGCCATTCTCCATCTCACGAAATTATATATAATAAAAATCCGCAGTTACACCTCAAATATTTACCAAGTATAGGGATATTCGATGTAACAAGAGCGCGAGTACAGAATCCGATAGAAACGCAATTTCGTTACAACGAAAACCGATCGAATATCTCCGGCCAATATCTGTACCGACACATCAAGCGCGATATAGCGCAACTATAACTTAATTTGAAAATCCGAACGAGAGTTTCGAAACTTCCTCGCGTGCGCAGGGAAGCTGCGGGGGGGCGGACGTAACGCGATCGAGAGTTGCAGCTATATATATTTATATAGCGAAACAGCGGCGCTGTGCAAATATTCTTTCTCGCCGAACCGGTAGAATTTTCACGCGAATCGATCGACGTAACGGGAATTAAACCGAGACCCGATCCTGAAACTATAGGGATGTGCGATCACCAGATCGATTCGTTAAAAAGCGATTTTTTTTTTCAAAAAGGTCGCTTCGAAATAGCTCTCTTTGTCAAAAAGAAAGGAAGAAGTAATTTTTTTTTTTTTTACAAAGAAATTGGGTTTTAAATAGCCCCTTTTAGTTGGAAAAATCAATTTTTCGCAAAGTATAGATCAGTTTAAAATCAATATTGTCGATTGGGAAGATCGATCTTTTGGAGATTCGAACATCCCTACCTGAAACACTCGAGGGCGCAGCGACGGTGTCAAAAGGGCGATCTCTAATAATAAAAGTTCCCCTCCGCGACATAGTTTTTAAGTCGCTGTCGACAATATTACACGCTCGATATTATCGATGGGCTACGTCGTGTATCTGACGAGGTTTCCTCTACCTTTCAGGGATCACCAGGATTAGACGGCATGAAGGTGAGCGATCCACGGGATGACCCCGTTTTCACTATATCATTACCTTTCTCGTTCTCGGACCCGCTCTATTTCCGTTCTCGGTGTCTCGTCTCTCGTCTCGTCCCGCGAACCGAAATATATATCAATCAATCAATCGGCCGAAATTAGACCGAGAAAACGCGCGAGCGCGGTTTCATCCTCATTGGCCTTCCTTAACGACGAGAGCGAGCCGAGTTACCAAAATCGCTCGTCATGTTTCTTCGTACTTTCAGGGCGCGCAGGGTGAGCCAGGAACGAAGGGAGAAAGAGGAGATCCGGGATTGCCTGTAAGTCCTATGCTTTATCAAGTATTTATCCACCGTCAAATCTGATCCATCTAACGCGCGATATCGCGCTCGCTTGCGCTCGTGTTTATCGAGATCTCTCGGCTATGTATCTCGAGATTTACCGAGTATTATCCCGAGGCAATCTTGCCCTTCATCAAACAATAATTTTCTCTGGTTTCGCGGTCGGATCGTTCGAGGCGCTCTCGGTAAATATTTTACCGATAGATCTCTCTCTTTATACATTTAAAGTCGATCTCTACGAGGCAATCGAATTCCTTGACAAATAATGCTTCGAATAAACTCTCGATTGGAGCAAAGTCTCCCGCGGTGCACAAACGAGAGGAGACTCGCGGATGCTCTTTCGCGAATTCGATCAAACGTCAATTGTGATTCCGATCGGTCGCCGATCCTTCTCAATCTCTGTTTTATGTCGCTCGCGATCTCTCTCAAGTCCTGTGATCGCCGTGCAGTCACGTACCGAGATCGAGTCATGTCCGAGAAACGGCGTCAAGTTGACTCACTGACTCGATTACATCTCACCGTCGCGTCGTCACGGAGAGACACGCTAACGAGTCGATCTGTGTTTGTCCCCAGGGTACCGACGGGATTCCCGGCGCGGAGGTACAGTTGGCTTTCGATTATCGCTCGTCCTCCGACTGCGCGACTGCGACACAGTCTGACACGGTCTGACCAGCCCGGGGTAACGACGACACATTCCGCCTGATCTACCCCGGGGACTGTCTTGAAAAAAGAAAAAGAAAAAAGAAATCAAAAAGAGCCCTCTCTTTTTGCCTCCTCCGTCCGATTTTGAAGAGAAGACGGAGCAGCGTCTTGCGCCTTTCTCCCTCTTTCGTTCGGAATCTAGTCTCGCAAAATTCTTTTTTTTTTTTTCTTACAACACGTTACCTTTAATTACATATCAAAAGTCATGATTTGCGCAGATAATTTCTTTTAATTTAAGTATTGATAAAACGCTCAACCATGTTGCTTTGCAAGTCGTTTACTTATGGCATAATTCCGACGCGATCGATTTCATCGTTTAATATTTTCGTGTAAGAATGATTAATGTTAGCGCAAAGAAAACCAGGTTATTCAGTGTTGATACTTGATATTATTTGCACGAGTAACTGTTGAATTAGATTTAAGGACTAGATAAGAACTAGGTGGTCCCGTGTGTACCACCTCGTCGGCATATGACCAAGTTAGAGAGGGTCGCACCCGATCAAAATTTACGGCCGAATTATAACGGAGGGGGAAACGCGCAACTCCCTCGTGCTTCTCTCTAGAGTGTCCGGAAGGATGCTCGAGCAGTGCTCGTGTGACCGCTCGATGCGCACCAATGCGAGAGCGTATAAACGGAACGACTCTTGTATGTACCCTCGAATGCACAGGAAGGTACTTGAAGGAGGATAATCTCTTTCATCTCTGAACATACGACAGCTATATCTCACACTGCACGGACAGCTATATTTTCCAACGTGCAAACGTTTCCTTTTTATTATTTAACATTAGAACCGCGAATCTAAATTAACCCAATCGCTATTTAAAGTAAATCTATAGCTTTTTTACGAAGGAAGGTTGTCGTAAAATTACTTGTAATGATTTATGATTATTTATGTAAAGTCATAAAAATCTAAAGCTCTACGTGCAAATCCAAATAAACTGGAGAAGAAAAAGTATCAGATGAATCAAAAGCGCGCATGTAACTCATCAAAATTGATCTTAAATTGACAATAATATTCTCATATATAATCAAAAATATTTTGATTTTGTTTTAAAGATTTTAGATCTTGATTTGATTGAATGTGTATTAATGCAAGATTTTTGAGTCTTGAATTGAGTGCGAAGCAAATACTTGCATCAATACGAATTCAATCAAATCGAGACTAAAATGTTTGAAGCAAGACTACAAATATTTTTATTTATATATGAGCATATTATTAAGAATAGCTTGTTTTTGTGTAGATTAACTTTAATCTCAGTTCAATTTACTTTTCATCTTCTAATTCGAAAAATTAGAAAGAAATGAGTTAAATCGATATTAAAGTTGATCTAAATAGTTGGTCAAAATAAGCATAAATATACATCATTAATATTATACAATATTGAGAGGAAAAAATTTCTAACATGTTAATCTTGCTCGGAAACCTTAATTTCTTTCAAATTTACAATTCTAGAAATAATTTTGTATAAATAATTGTACGTGAAGCTGCAGCTAACAAAATTCTAATTGTTCGAAAAGTTAAACTGAATCTAAAACGGGAAACTCTGTGTTTGTCTCTTTTTCTCTCTCTCTCTCTCTCTCTCTCTTTCTCTCGTATCGGTGCTGCATTTATTGACATCGGATATTCTCGGTTTATTGACGTCTCTCGTCGGAGAGAAGAGCAATAACCAAGTGATCCACTCGAAATGCCGTGCCAGTGGTTCCGGCTGCGAATCGATATGCCACCCTTTCCGCCCCTTACGGCTCGATAGGTGACGGTTGATGGTAACGGAAAAGCTGGCAGTGATCGATATACCGTATACGACATCGCGGTCACACGCGGCACCCTTCCTCGAGCCCCCTTTCGAGCTTGGAAACGCTTTTCTTTCTGGAACGACCGTGCGTCTCGCGCGCGCAAAACGACGGCCAACGTTTACCGAATAAATTCCTTTTGACCGTGTTCACCAATTCCAGGGACCGAAGGGAGAGAAAGGTGCCAAAGGCGAATCTGTGAGTATTGACTTAATTCGAGTAATTCACGTTTTCGACGCGCGTGCTCCGCCGCGCGATTGAACGCGATCCACTCGTTATACCGTCACTCTCTTTCTCTTTTTCTCTCTATTTCTCCTCTCTCTTTCTCTTTCCTCACGAGGATGCGAAAACGATCGTGCGTGATTAGATCGTCCGTATGCTTTACGAAGATTATTTACCGAGCGATAACCGACGGACCGAAGCGCTGAATTCGGATGCAGCTCGCCTCGTAATGCACGTATGTACAATCATACGCATGTATCTTGGCGAGTTAGCGAGAAATTGTTTCATACACGGAGGATCCCTGCCATTAGTTCAATTAGTTTACCTTTACCTTTACCAAAGTCACCGAGTTCGAGATGCCGGACCGACTAGTGGAGCCGAAATTAATTATCATTGGCTCTCTCAAGACTTCGCTTGATTTAACTCGATTTCGAGTTGATCAGATGCTTTGAATTGGGAGGAGATCGACTGCGCGCGTGTCGAGTTTTCATGGCTATTATATGTAAACAATTTGCGCGATTTGTCCTTTCGCATCCTCGTACCTATCTTTTATTCACAACTATTGCTGCAAGCACGTCGGTGGGACTCCTCCGTGCCGCCGCCGACGTCGTCGTCGTCATCGTCGTCGTTCACGACGAGAAGACTGCGGGATCTCCGCGGAGCTACAAGGTCACGAAAAATAGGAAGCGGAGGAAGCTCTAGTTGTAGGAACACGAGGAGAATTTCCTCAACACACGCCCACCATTCCCATCAAGTTCCACATGAGACTAACACACTTTGCGCGTACATAGAAATTTGTAAATATATACATATTGTTATATATATATATATGCTGCTACCACCGTTCCGTGAAAGCGCATAATGACGAGGCGCGAATAATGTTAGAAGTGACGCTAACATTAAACGCTCGAGGAACGAAGTGCCAACGGGAGCACTGTCGCCGTCGCCTCATCTCTTTTTTTTCCTCTAGGAAATCATGTCTCAGCTTTGATGACAGAAAAAATCGTGCCTCGGCGATCCGATAATTACAGTGAATTAAGTCAAAAGGGCACCGGATCGACCGAGGAACGAAAGAGACCTTTCGCAGTAATTATCAATTAAAATCCGTTATAATTAAACTGCGACCCGCGACAGGCTCACCTTCGCTCTTTGTACTCGGCGGGGTATTGTGCACCGGATCGATCAAGTACTATAATGCATAATCCAACAATATTATGCCTGGCCTTATTTGCACGTCGCGTACTTGCATCGGGTGTTTCGCGCTGTCAGAAAGATGATGCATTTCGCGTGTGCGCACAGGGGCCGCCGGGTAAACGCGGCAGAAAAGGCGACAAGGGCAACAAGGGAGATCAAGGTGTTCCAGGATTGGATGCCCCGTGTCCGCTGGGACCGGATGGACTTCCCTTACCAGGCTGCGGCTGGAGACCACCGCAGGTAATCGATAGCTTTATTTTCTTTCGGAGTTTGTGGCTAGAAGGAATTATGAGAATAAAAGTTACGCCGTATATATAATTTCAATTCGTAACGAGATAAATTAATAAAAAGTGTGTTAAGACGAAAATATATATAGATATTGCGAAATCCTTGGGAATATTTCAGATCGTAATTTCAATCAATCGCAACTGTATATTATGCAGTTTTTCACAAAATTAGAACAGTCGCTTTCGCATGAGAGAAACGCGCAGGTGTTCCATTGGATGCTAATTTTGCAATTGAGATAAAATGATAACGCTCCACGAGTCTCCCGCGGATTTCGAAATAATCCTCCGTGGTCCAACTGGAGCTTTGAAGACCCAGGCGAATTTTCAAGTTTGAATTATTCTGCCTCAAATTCGGGCCTGTACCAAAACAAAACGTTTCGGGGTCATATCGTTGTAAAATCATATTCTCAAATGTTGAAAAAGTATACCAGAATTTTTTTCAAATTTTTTTATAGTCTAAAAATGCTTTGAAAAACAATCAGGCAGCAGTGACCCGGTTGAACTAATAAAAAAAAAAAACATTGGACCACGGAGGGTTAACGCTAGAATCGCCGATGATTCCATTTTGGCTCTATTAATTTTTTTTTCTTTTTTACATTAAATATACAGTATAGAATATTAAAATATACTCCTATATAATACAAATAATTCTAACGATACAAATAATATGAAAATAAATCTTCATTCACCGAAAACAGAGATATAACATTACTAAATTGGCACCTTCGACACTTCTAGTAGGATACCGTCGCGTCGGCGATACTAGTGTTAATCAGTTGATAAAGCTTCTGCAAATATTGTTCGGCAAAAGCGAATTGTCCGAGGAAAAACAGATCGCGTTCTTTGCTAGTTATTGCGAGGGTATTATAACAACAGCGCTAATAGTCTACTAATACCAAACGCGGGATAAAAGGGATAGAGAGAAGTAGTGCCGCGGGTACGCTTGGATTCTGGTGTGTGCTTAGCAGGACATCACGAGCACGTCCGCGCCGGCGATCGAGGGTCCTGAGCCCGCGGAGACGGATTACGAGGAACCGGAGGACGAGTACGACGACTATACGGACCCGAACGGGAACCTAGCCGAGCAATAATGCTCGTTTTTGTGCGCTGCCCTAATAACTATCGACAACTACCACCAATACCAACACCATCATCATCACTACCACCAACCACCACCACCACCACCACTGCCACCCTCATCACTCGTCTCACCCCGTTCTCCTAAACTAACGTGATCCTGGTAATTGCGAATCCCATAATAGTACTAACGCAATGCGATGTTCGTCAACAGCTTGGTTTCGCAATGAGATCCTATTTGTACATGCTGCTTCCTAATGCGATATCTATTGGTTGTAATATCGAAGACAAAACGCTGCTTTATGTGTGTTCGAAGCTTAACGGAATCTAACATGCGAGTAGAATTGTGTGTCAGAATCTCTTCTAGATCTATCCCTTTTATATGTAAATTGCTTGCACATTTTCTATGTTCACGATCGCTTACGTTCTTGTTTAGAATTAGACGAATCTCTAATTTTTATTAATTATTAGAAACGCATGTGTAATTACACGCAAGGTTTTTTTTCCTATTTCTTTGCAACTCATTAATGCAATAAGGACAATTTAAAAAGACTTCTACTAAACATAAAAAATTTTGCAAGAATATACAAAAATTATTAAGTAATATATTTTAACATCTTTAGAAAGTATTTGCAAGTATCTGTATATTAAAAAATTGTATATAAATGTTATAACTAACAATTTGATACTTCTATAATATTTCGAAGAAAAGAAATGCGATAGGACACGAATTAACCCAATCGTGTGTATCTAACAGTTAAATACTCACATCCAAGATAAATGTCTTTTTTAATTAATTTTTTAATTAATAGTTTATATATCTGCACGTATAATGATCTGCTCACTTGTGCACTTGTTTCTCTCATTCATACACCGATCTGTACATCCCAAAATTAAGCTGGCAAACTCTCGAAAAGATTTCTAGAAATCTAATGCAACTTCTGTCTTGTGCTCAATGGACGCGTCGAGACTATTCCATTGGGAATAATGATCTTGAGCTTGCTTATGCGAAGAACAATCAATCCTACTTAAAGATAAATGATCGGTGACACTCTTCCGTTTTGCTTTACAGCCAAGGAGCAACATCCTGCGTCAGTGGCTGGAAGAAGAGGAGGATGGGGAGGAGAAAGAGAACGAGCGGCAGTGATGTTGCAAGGACAATAGCGCATTTTTTTCATAAGGACTTCTGTATATCCTTCCGTTCCCGCCTCCGTCTCGTTACGACCGCGTTACGAAAGAAAAAAAAAATATATATATATATACATATTATATATACGCCAAAATAATCATCTTGCCATCGAGAGTGTTGTAAATATGTGTACTTACAGTGTCTAGCGTCCGCAGTGCGTGTACATAAATAATTAGAGCTTACTGCGAATCTATGGTCGTATCGCGACGACGACGATAGTCGTATCGTCGGTTGATACAGTTCACCCGCAAATGTCACACACATAACATATGCACACATACAAAGGTATACGGTGATGGATCCGCGATCGATACCTCTCCGGTTCAGTATGCGAGGAAGAACAGGGAGAAGTCTTCCTGGTGAATTCACGATGATCCTCGTGTGGAAGAATGTCGCGACAGGATTGACGGAAACATTTTGGAGCAAACGGACGAGGAATAATCCAGGAAGAATTGCAGTGCAGTGCGCGAAGGACTTGCGGATGAGCGTGATGGTACGGGATGGGAAAGAAGATACGCGTCTATCGTGCAACTTGAATGCTCTCCGTGCGAATCTTACGGCGACAAGGACACACACTTTCTGCGGATTTTAACGGAGCTACGACGACGAGACACGAGCGAGGAGTGGGGAAAATCGAAACGCACCGATGGATTAGCTTTTAACCGCTGCCTGAAACGCATTTCGTATCCCTTTCTTGTGCTGCAAATATTTTATTTGAAAACTCTCGCCTGATCGTCTTCATATAGATATCCTCATAATTTCCCTTAACTACAATTACACTGAAAAAAATTTTACTAAATCTTACGTATTTCTTGATACATATTTTTTTGACTAGTACTAAATAAACATTTACTCACAGTGAATAAATATTTACTCGAGACTAATAGTTCAATTGATGTATCAAATTTTTATATCTGATAAGTATATGTTTACATTTGGTAAATATTTACTTAGAACTATTAATTCAAGAAAATATTTATTAAAATTAGTATTTTTTTCAGTGTGAAAAGGTTCACCTTTTTAAAGCGTTCTATCTAAAATACAGAATATAAGCAAATTTTCGCCTTGGCGAGTGGTATGAAAAGATTTAAAGTTTTTTTTATCTACAATTCAAATTTCAATACTAATTGTACAGATTGTATCAACCATTTGAAATTGTCGCTTCGGATTCAAATAACTCATTACTGTAGTCGATGGTTAAAAAATTGCACTTCGTAACATGCGATTCAGGTTGCCTTTCAGCTAATCCCGCGGGAGAAACGTACGCCGATCCATGATGTAAGAATATAAGGTTTCATTGCGCATATATAATGGCGAATATAAATTATAATATTAGGAAAAATTTCTTATTGATGGTAAATTTGTAATAGCGACTCAATATTAGCTTGTAACATTTTAGGCTAATTTTCTAATTGGTCATCGACTGCGCATCTCGGGAACAAAACATCTCGTATTCTTACATCATACGCTAATCCATACCTGTGAAGAGACGAGCTTCGCCGCACTTTTACCGTAGAACAACTGTAGACTCGCGCAACGAGGAGCTTTTTGATACGACTAGTTGATTAGTGGCGCGCGATCCTGCGTTATTCCCGTCTAGATTAGAATCATAATCTAATGCTAGTACCATGCGTAATGCACGGAAAAAGAAGGGACTGTACACACGCATTGTCAATACTTGCAAAGTACCGTGGAATAAACCAGTGAGTGTAAATCTTCTCGATGTCAGAATATCGGATCGCCGCAGCGGCGTCTCGCACAACTATGTGCGTTCTCTTTTTTTTTCTATCTCTTCGGACGTTTGTAGTCCCCCAAGCGTAAATATTTTCCATACGGAACGATATCGCTTCTGGGGGAAAAAAAGGGAGAAACGAAGAAGATAAAAAAGATAGAGCCGAGGTGTTGCCCGTTGCAATATTGACGTTCAGAAGCTACGTTCGAGCCACGCGTGTAGAACGCGGCTTATCTCTGGCGCATTGATCTTCTTCGCACTCGAATAGAGTAAAATATAAATGACTTTTTCCTCTGAAGTTAGTATTTATTTCGTTCGAGCGCCGGAAAATCGTATCTCATTTATAGAGCCTCTCAGGGTTGGTCTTTCGATTATCACGAGTTCGGGTGTTCTGAAGTAAAAATTATTGGAGACTTTTCTTCAGCTAGAATCTTTTAGAAGCAACGCCGCGCCGGGAGGATTAATTTGGATTCGGTGTAACATAGAAAGTAACGAGAAACGTTCGATGTTCTTATATCGTAATACATCGTAATACATCGTAATGTGGTATTTATTGCCATTTACATCCGTTACATTTTGAGTAATTTGTACTTCTTAAAATACGACTGCACCTTGTCCTTGGGGTAGGGCTTCGTTACCAGGCACGTCGCGATGTTCTCGGGCTGTTCTATCCACAGCTTGTGCTGAATGTCGTCCTCCTTCAGTTTTGCACACAGCGTCTGCAAACCGGCTTCATCGGCGGCCTATTATTCATACTCGTGATTTCACGTCGTTTTATTCAGTGGTTTGGGAATGATTTGTTTGAGGATTCGAAATATTACAGCATTCGAGATATTTTACGTGGAATAATAGGTAGAGTCGGTTCTTTGTTGCTGCACTCGTCTGCACTGAAATTTTTTTCTCCCTTTTACCATTTTATCTTATTGAGTTTATATCTAGTTAAGTATCTAATATTTAGAAGGTCAATCTCCATGAAATTTTTGTCTCACTGTACCGAGAGAAAAAGATGGTTATAATTATCATAAATAACTATAATTTATAGTAATTTTTTGGAACAATTATATATTTATAGTTGTTTTGATCATGCAAATATAATCAATTGTATATTCATAATATATTGTTTAAAAATCTTGAAGTTTTCCTTAACATATTATTTAGTTTTTATTACCTCATAAATAAGGGAATAAAAAATATAATTATGTTCACTATAATGTCACTTGCATTTAATGAATATTAAATTAAGATTAGTATTATAAGTGGCTTGATTTAAAAAATTATATTAATGAATAATAGAGCTTTAGCCACACGCTAGATATAATAAGCGATATTTATTTAATAATTATATATATAAATACAAATTAAAAAGTGAAAATAGACGTTTCGGCCCTAAAAGAAGCCATCTTCAGTACAAAAATTAATATAATAATGAAGAAAAACAATAACATTATATGATATATTTTTTGGTTATACATGATGCGAATCTGAGTCGTTATTCCGATTACAATTTTTATACAT